TGCGAAAATGTACACCATTAAATTATTTATAAGACTGAGAATTTTTTATACTCTTAATAAGCAAACAGAGATTTGAAATCCTCGAAAAAGTCAGACAAAACCAAAAGAAAAATTAAAATTTTGTCCCATTTATAAATATTATTGATTTTTTTCATCATATTTGAGAGTGCTTTATAAAAAAAAGTTATTTTTCTTTGTAGTTTTATTTCTTAACTATTCCAATGGTCCAACTAACGTTTTTTCGTAATCACAATAAATAAATTATTATCATGGTCCAACAAACGCGCACCTTAAGCCGAAACCGGCATCGCCTTTGTGAGGGAGCCGGTAACGATGCCGCCGCGTACATTCGTCACGATAAGGACAGCGCCCCGCTTGTGACGTATAATCCATCGCATGTGTTCATCTCTTGCTAAGCGATATTGTCATTGTCCTTGTTTTTCGCATCATAAAGAGAGAGAAAACTACAGAGGCACACATTTACTGTGCCCATCTTCCACTTAATTTCGGAATTCTCGGAACGTCGCTCAACGCCCGGTCGTCCAGTGTCGTGCCAACGCGGTTTGCACTGAATATTAGATAAAATAATAATAGGCATTGAGGAAAATATAAAATATGTAAGTTATTATTTTTTTTGTTTATTATACTAGGGCACGTGCCCTTAGGGGGAAACCGCCACTGACTACGACAAAACAGATACTACGTCTAGGTCACGCCTCCGAAGAAGCTATTTATCAATTTAATTAATTTTAATAATTACAATATAATTTACATGTATACAAACTGGGGTGTAAAAATAAATTTGAATATCTTTCTGCCAGACATATATTGCAATTTATGCTGATGATAGTACAGAGCAATCTCAACACCATTGCCAATTGAATTTACAAACTGGTGTAGAAGGAATTATTTAATTGTGAATGCAAATAAAGCTATGCATGCAATGTTTCTTTAGAAACAGAAATACTACGGACTTTCTCATACAAGTCTTGACAACAATATGAGCTTGGAATCACATATTGATTTTGTATGTAAAAAAATTAATAGTGCTTATTATGCCATCCTGCAATTAAAGAGTATTTTGGTTACAAGTCAGATTCTCAATGTATACTATGCATTGGTATATTCTCAACTGTCATTTAATGTACTACTACGGGGAGGAGCTGTTGAGGTGTCACGTGTTTTTATTTCACAGAAAAGAGTAATCCGGCTTATTTTTAATTTAGATGCCAGAACTACTTTGTAGATAACACTTTAAAAAATTTAAATTACTTACTTTTCCTTCAATTTTTATATTTAAAACTCTTATGTACATGAAACAAAATATTTCACAATTTCCCAGTAACTAGACAACCACCATTATTCTACTAGAAGTGGAAATCAATTACGTATTCCAAAACGTGCCTCAGCTTTAAATGAAAGAAATCTACAATACATCAGTGACGCCTATTCAGTCATCTCCCTCTCTCAATTAAAAACAGTGACTTATAGCTTGTTTAAAATCAAACTGAAACAGTACCTAATAGAAAAATGTCCGTATAGCGTTGAAGAATTTTTCGTGTAATTAATGTTTTTTTTTGTTGTTCATACTTTTTATTTCAGTTTAACATAAGTATTCTTAGCTTACTGTATTTACCTATTTTATAATTTGATTTTTATGGGTTTTACTTTTAATTTGTATTTTTTTTTTTGTATTTATTGTTATTATAATATTGTGACATTTCATATATCATGTAAATGATCTTTCAGGATAAATAAACTATCTATCTATTCATCTATCTATCATTCTTTCTATTTTTTTATTTTTTTATCTTTCTAGCTATCTATCTATCAATCAATCAATCAAATATATTGAGTACGGCCCATCAAAGTGTTTCTAATAAAAATAAAAATATTCAAAACGTTTTTTATATCATCGTTACTTCCTCAATTTTTTTCTATTACAGTCCATTTTAGATAAATCATGTGTAGAGAAGAAAAAATCATAGAGAATGACATCGCAAACAATTCTTATTGAAAGACTTCTTCTACAAATAAATAACAGAAATATGCCTTAATAGTCGAAAATGCCTCCTATAAAGTACTCCCCAGATTCTCCGACGATGTCCAAAATCCAATCAGCTCACCACAGGGTGGATTGAAGCTTGAGTTTAAAATTTGGTGTACTTCTCTTCATCCGTTTTGGAGTTATACGTAGATACAGACTCGAACAGATCATCGGAAGAATGGTCAAAACGGATTCGGTGGACTCCAGAACGTAAAGATCCACTACTGATTTTTCAAAAGTGAGAACAAATTTAAACTGTCAAAAATGTTCAAACCAAAATTCTAACAAATTGTGAAAAAATGAAAACTGTTCACAATAATGTTTTTAAATTGATGATGCATTAAAAATGTTTACAATATAAATTTATAAAATGTTTTCATCTTGTTTACATGTTAAAAACTAGCATGAATTAAGATTCTTCACTGATTTTTCAAAAGTGAGAACAAATTTAAACTGTTCATAATTATAAAATTATTATAGCTACATATATTTCAAAAATGTTCAAACCAAAATTTTAACAAATTGTGAACAAATGAAAACTGTTCACAATATTGAGGAAGAGACCAAAAATAATTTATAAATGTTTAAAAAAATATGTTGTATACATTTTTAAATAAGTTATAGTTTTAAACCATAAAGGAGTTGAGACTCTATTTCTTGCTGAGTCCTAATAAGTACGAATCCGGTTCAAGAATGACTTTTTCCTTAAGAAGCAAATTCAAAGTTAGTGTTGAAAATTATTTTCTATCTCTGCTTTTCACCTTTTGATATAATACAATGCCTGTTGCGGTATTAGCCAAGAGAGTAGTTGTTTTCAGGAGGTAAATGGTCGCTCGTTATTTCTGTGACACGGTCTTTGAGCTTTCTCTTTTTCCTTTATAATTTATTTTTGAATTGGTCACATTGTAATATTGTTCCTTCATAGTTTTGTTTCATGTGCATTTTTTCTTAGTGTCATTGATATGAACTACTGGATGAGTGGGAGAACAAAAAATGCAAATATATAAAATGCTTCTACATAATTTCAAGATTGTTCATAAATTGTGAATATGTTTGAAAACGAGAGCAAATTCACCTTGTACACATTAAAGACGAGAGAAAATTAATAGTTCACGATTTTTAAATTAGAACAAATTAAAAATATTCACAATACAAATTTCTAAAATAATCAAAACAAATTGTGAACAAATGACAACTATTAACAAATTAAAATTATTCACAGTATTGAGGAAAAGTCAAAAAATAAATATACATTTTTACTTTCCTATCTGTATACAGATATAAGGAAAGTATAGGAATCATGATTTTTTTCGACCTCGAGTTTTCGACGGATTTTTACGTTTTGAGGTCCCCTGAATCCGTTTTGACTATTTTCGCGATGATGTCTGTGTGTGTGTGTGTGTGTGTGTCTGTCTGTGTGTGTGTGTGTGTGTGTGTGTGTGTGTGTGTGTGTGTGTGTGTGTGTGTGTGTAGGTCGCATAACTCATGAACCGAAAAACACCAAATTTTAAACTTAAGCTTTGTTTCAGCGTCCAATGAGCTGATTAGATTTTGGGCAGAGTCGGAACATCTGGGGGGGTACTTTATAGGTGGGCATTTTTATATTTTATGGAATATATGTTATTTACGTTTGGAGAAGAAAATTCTTCAAATAAAAGTTACTTCTTATATAATTATCTATAATTTCTGTTCTATACAAAATTTTCCTAAAATGGTCCGTATTCGAGAAATTTGACAAAATGTAAAAAAAATATTTTTTTATAAAAATTGTTCAAATAAAAGTTGTTTGTAATATAATTCTCTATAATTATTATTCTATACATAATTTCTCTAAAATGGACCGTATTCGAGATATTTGAGAAAATGTGTAAATTTCGAATATTGAAGAAAACTCAAAAACGGATAAAGAAAAAAACATTAAATTTTAAACTTAAGGTTTATTTCGGCCTGACGTAAAATGATTAGATTTTGGACAAAGTCTGAACATCTAGGGGGGTACTTTATGGGAGGCCGTTTTTATATTTTATGGAATATATCTGTTATTTATGTTTGGAGAAGAAAATTGTTTAAATAAAAGTTACTTCTAATATTATTATCTATAATTTTTGTTCTATACAAAATTTTCCGAAAAAAATATATTTCATAAACAACAGAAAGTTACAAGGTTAAACAAGTTAAAACAAAAAAAAAGGAACAGAATACCCTTATACAAGTAAATACTTTTCACTTCAGTGTATTTTATTTAATAGCTTTAAATCTGGTAAAAACATAAAATCGTAAAACTGTGAACAGCTCATATCTTTAATTTATAAGTAGTCATAAGTATTCCTTTTACAGAGGCCAAAAGCAGTATATTTATTTCATTTGTCCACTGGGCTGCAATAAGTAAAAATATTCTTTCCACATTGGCATTGTGGGACGGAATTGCAAAAAGATATTTAGCTGCTTTTAACAACTCTGAAGAAACTTCTTCAGTCGCTTAGGGGGATTTTACATTACAACGTATAGTTAAGAGGCCGGGGTTTTACACTACATAAAGACAACTATTTTAAAATCCGGACGCTTATGCAAAATCCGCTCGGACGTTAAAAACGCGGACATGGGTAAATCCGGACTTCTGTTAACCTTACCCCTGTAGCTGCCCTTGAATGTCTCCTGTAATATGTAATCATGAAGGTGCTCAAAATTTTTTAGGCCAGGTATTTGAGACATGTAACATTGTCCTGACTACTCTGTATATAATTTTGTGCATTTGTTTCATATTTTCATTGACATGGCTTTGCTTCTTGATCTGTTCAGGCATTATCACTGTTTCTCAGCGCGTCTTTAGGAAGAGCATTGTCTTTAAAAATGTCGCCTGTGATGTAATCATTGAGGCGATCAACATTTTTTAGTTCCTGGCATTGAAGAATTTTAACAATGTCCTAACTATACTCTTTATATTATTTCGTAGATGTTTAAATTTACTTCAACAAAATGGATTGGCAACGACAACGAAACTAACCCAAAAGATTGGATTTATAGGCGATGGTAGTATGGCGAAAGCCATCTGCAGAGGAATAAATAGAAAAGGTAGGAATCTAGTTATATTTTCTTTGTAATCATTATCATCAACCATTCGTGTGCAGTTCTTATATAGACATATTTTTTAAAGACGAATTACATTATATTTATAAACTTTTTTTTTTTTCGTAGGTTTGATAGATTATTCCCAAGTCTACGTTTCCAGTCCGTACATAAAGAATTTGGATTCTTGGAAAGATTTAGGCGCTAATGTGTCTACGGATAACTCGTTAGTAGTGAAAGAATCGGATGTGGTTTTTCTAGCAGTAAAACCCCACGTTTTTTGCGATGCTGTCAAACAAATTGAGAAGGGCGCCAACATGAAATACACGAAAAACAAGCTGTTTATATCTATTTTGGCCGGAGTTACTACTACTAATGTAGAAAAGGTAGGTAAATACATACTTTATTCAAAGCACGGAAAACGTTGGTCGAAAGGTCAAAGCGTTTGTCCTATAAGACATGAGTTCTATTTCCATCGGGCACGCGGTTTTTATTGGTTTGTTTTCAGCATAGGTTTTCAAAAATGTATTCCTATCTGTTTGACAATAATTGTGTAATTAGTAGATTAAATTTTCCACTACACAATAAAGTATATCTTAATTATGACAAATAACGTTTCTTAAAAGTTTTAAATCCCTTTTTTCAGGCGCTTCAAAATTTCGAGGGAGCCAGAGTAATACGAGTAATGCCGAACACACCCATGCTCATAGGACAAGGATGCTCCGTATTCTGTCCCGGCAGTAAAGCGACCGAAGCCGATCTAAAACTTGTAAATACCTTCCTAGAAGCGACCGGCATGTGTCAGCAGCTTCCCGAGCACATGATAGATGCAGTCATGGCCGTGTCCGCAAGCGGGCCAGCTTTCGTAAGCATTAAAGAGTATTATTAAAGATAAAAGTTTAAAAAAAGCTCTTCAACACTTTTCAAAGTTGACAATTATTTGCAGGTGTATATTTTCATCGAGGCTTTGTCTGACGGCGGCGTACGTATGGGCCTACACAGAGAAATGGCTACCAGGTTTGCTGCCCAAACTGTAATGGGTGCTGCCAAAATGGTTCTGGAAAACAACAAACACATGGGAACATTGAAAGACGAAGTCTGTTCAGCTGGAGGTACCACCATCGCTGGAGTTCACGCCATGGAGAAGGGAAGAGTCAGGTAAAGTGGAATGTACCGAGTCAAATCGGAACTTAATTTCTTTTTCAACTCTAGATAAACAAAATCGAATTTTACCCCGTAAACGCCACCTGACACACTCCATACGGTTGATAGACGTTGAAGCGACGTCTGGGTCCTGGAGACTTGCAAGAACTTAGAAGGACGCGGTGTAGGTTTAGATGGATGCCAGAAGTTTTATTATTATTATTTACTGACATGAGCTGAGAACCGAAATCCTATAAAGCTCATATTATTCAAAAAAATTTTAGTTAAAAATAAACATTTTTTTTTATAAACTATAAATATCATTTGATAATAAAAAAAAAAAAATAAAAGTATAAAAACAATAAATTACGTTAAGTTACATTACAATTTGTTGTGATTATAATTTATTGTGTCTATACAGATATATACATACTTAGCTTAATGAATCAAATTTGTTTTTAAACGAGTTAACTGAAGCTGCGCATACAACGTTATCATTTAAATTGTTCTATACAGAGAAAACTCGGTTTGAAAGAAAATTTTGCCTAACTCTAGAGTTAAAATTTTCCTTTTTTAATTTGAACATGTGCCCACGGAGGCGAAGGTCATTATTTAATACAAATACATCCAAAAGATCGACACCGAACATGTGCCTAATTGCGCGAAAACAAACGATTAAATCACCACGCAGTCGACGCGCTCACTAAAAAGAGTCAGATTAGCAGTAGACAGACGCTGTTCATACGGTGGCCTTCTTATACCATACGGAAGCCTTGTTGCAAGTCGCTGCACATTTTCCAACCTAGTGTTTTGATCCGAGATTAATACGGGACACCAAACAGGACCACAATACTCCAGGCGAGGACGAACATAATGTTGCGTATATTTTAAAAAACGTTGAGGGAGTAACATTGCCAAAAGTCTTTTTTAATAAGAATAGTTGAGAGTTTGATTGTTTGCATACTGATAATATATGCTCTGACCACGTTAAGTCTTTAGTAATGATAACGCAGAGATCATTTTGGGACGATACTGTCTTTAAGGCATTATTATTAATAATACTAATTTAGGATTGTTTTTACCGATATGAAGAACAACACATTTATCAACGTTTAGCGGTAATAACCAGTCTGAACTCCACTTTGATACCGCACTCAGATCAGATTGAAGAGACTGAAGGTCCGCAATTGGATTAGCGTAGATTTTTGTATCGTCTGCATAGAAGGAGCAACAGCTTTTTATGTGCACAGAAATATCGGCAGTATATAATAGAAAAAGTAGGGGACCAAGGACTGATCCTTAAGGCACTCCACTGACAAAGGATTTGGTTTGAGAGAAACTATTACCAACTCTTACGCGAAATTGTCTGGAGGTTAAGAAGTCCGTTACCCAAGCTATTAAGTTACCTCGGATTCCTAGGTGTTCAATCTTTTTGAGAAGTCGGTGCTTTGGAACTCTATCAAAGGCTTTAGATATACAACATCTGTAGGAAGACCAGCATCTAAGGCTTTTGTCCACTTATTGACAGACTGTAGGAGATTAGTTAAGGTAGATCGTCCTCTGATAAATCCATGTTGTTGGGTGGGAAGTATCCGTTCGTTTTCAAGAAAGACAGTAACCTTATCACATATTATGGACTCCATTACTTTACAAACTATTGGTACAAGGCTTATCGGTCTATAGTTATTTGGGTCAAGCTTATTGCCCTTTTTGAATATGGCACTCACTGACGCAGTCTTCCATATAGATGGCAAGATGTGAGAATTAAAGGAGGAAGTCATTATACGGGAAATAGGATAACAGAGAGTGTTAGCACAAGATTTTAAAAGAAAAGAGGAGATACCATCTAAGCCTGGCGAAGAGTTGGACTTAAGCATTTTAAGTTTGTTTTTTATTATGTCTGGGTCAAACGATATGTTGGAAACAGAGGCCTGTATTCTGTTTAGTGAAATATCCGGAAGTGGTGATGTCATATCTTCAAGGGTGAAGACATTACAGAAGGTGTCAAAAAGGAGTTGAGCAGATTCAGTATTGTTGGCACACTTATCTCCGTTTTCTTTTTGTAGAAGAGGTATGGATACTTTGGATGTCAGATTTGTTCTAACATATTTATAGAACTTTTTGCTATCAGCACAGTTGGCGATGTACTCCTGATAGTTATACTTTGCTTCGATAACTGCGGCCTTTAGTTGATTGGATAATAGTCGATGAGCAGAGAAATCGTTCATATTGTTGGTTCGCTTAAATTTTTTCCATAGGTGTTTCTTATGTTTTACCATAGACAGCAGTTGATTATTTAACCAGGGTTTGAGATTTGTTCTTCTGTTTATTTTATTTATAGTATGAGATTTTACACAATCATTAACTGTATTTTGAAAGATATTCCACATGCAGCTCGGATCATTGTTTTCAAGGATAATATTAATCCAGTCTAGTTGGTCTAGATAGGAAAAAACTTCAGCAAAGTTTGTGAGTGAGAAGATAGTGTGATTGGATGTGCAAGAAGGGAATGATTGAAATTGTAAACGGCACGTTATGACTGCATGATCAGATATTCCAACTGGTGGGAGATACACCAGTGGAGTTAAGAGTTGTTCATCATTGGTAAGTAGTAGATCGAGTGTAGAAGGTTCCTGATTTATTTTAAATCTCGTGGGTTGGGTTATTAGTTGAACAAAAATAGAATTGTGGATAAATTCCATGAACTGATTAGTAACATTTTGCGTGTCAGGTATAGAAGTAATTGGCCATTTAATGTCTGGAAAATTAAAATCACCTACTATAATCAGATTTTCAGAACCACTTAAGATATCGAGTTTGTTTAGCAGAGCCGCGTCAGTAGCAACAGATGTGTCTGGCGGCCGGTAAATAACTGCAAGAGTAATACGGCAATTGAGATGTTGCAGCTGCAAACAAAGAGAATCAATACGAGGAACTGAGATATATACAGACGAGATTGTAAAACAGTCTAAGATATGTTGAGCTACATATATACATACTCCTCCTCCTCGTCTATCAATTCGATTATATCTAAAAATCTGGTAATTAGGAATAGAGATTAAGCTGTCTGGAATATTTACATTGAGCCACGTTTCGGTAATTAAAATAAGGTCCGGTTTTTAAGATTGAATAAGACAAATAAATTCATTGAATTTTTTGGGAAGAGAATCTAAATTTGTGTACAATAAAAGCCAATCATTGAAAGTTAATGCTGACATTTTTGTACGATCTTTGGTGATCTATTAATGTACTTGATAGTACAGTCGTCAGTGCCGTTTCGATTTTTAATTTCCAATTCAGTTCTAAGTTCGTTTAGGTATGAGTTTTGAGCCTGAGTTTTGTCATCGGTGATACTAAAATCTTTGGTTAAATTATTTTTCATCAGTTTACGTTACGATTCGCATTGAAAAGTAGCTTTAATCATTCGAGGGTATTTATTGTTAGAGTTTGGTTTTCCGATTATATAAAAAGAAACCATTTCGGCTGTTGAACCAAGCGAGTTCAGTATCAAATCAAGTTTTTCTTTATCGTGTTCTTTCTTCACAGAGCTGTCTCCTTGTGCCTCTGCGATCCCAGGATTTAGAATATTCTTGGCACGGCGCATTCTATCAACTGCTTCTGCAGTAACAGTTTCGATATATTCAGGTGAACGAAGAGATTCAGAATTTTTAACTTGGTCCTTAAATTCTGATAGCTGATTATTAAATGACTCTTATTTTGTATACCTTTAAGTTTTTCATCAAAAGAATCAACCTTTTTTCAATATTAAGTTTCTCCGGCTTTTATTAAGCGTATCGGCTTCGTTCATCTAATGCTCTAATAAAATCAAAAACGTAGTAATGGGGTATGACTAAAGGATTATGGACATAATTATTTTGGCCGATATCTCTTTATAATAACAGGGATTTTATTTTTACTTCGATTTAGTCTTAGATAAACGAGACCAGAGATGTAACATATACCGGTATTTATGCAGTGCGAATGTTGCCAACTGAGTTGTGAAAATACTATAGACTGTGGAGAAAGGTATATTACATATGTATAGACGATATCTTTCCTACAGATTTATGTGAAAAAGTGAAGCAAAAGTAAATTTTATTGCAAAATGTATATTTTTGGGTGTCATAATAAGAGAGAAAAGGGTCCAGAAATCAAACTCTAAATGTATTATGTTGTTTATTGTATTATTTATATTTAAAAAATAAGTAAAACAATAAATAAATAGTAAATACAAAAAAATGGAACAAGTTATAAAGAAAACAAAGAAATTCTGAAAAATAAAAAAATTATAATTTTAACAACCTTCAAACAAGTTTGTTATACAGTATGGTTCAAATGAAAGGAATAAATTCATTATAATGGAAGTAGTTGGTTTTTCGAAAAAATGCTCGGACAGGTCAATTTTGTTTACTAAAAGCGCAATTTTTTAAATAGAAATCAATTTTCCCCCACTTCCCATTTTTGGGCAGTGACGTCATTGACATTTTTTTTAAATAGTAACCCCAATTTTTTTTTTCTTGATTTTGATAGATCTTGCAATTTCCTACTCGGAAACATAATATTTGAAATATCTTACATAACATTTTTTTTTAATAACAGTCATTTAAAGATCAGACACATAAATTTTATTTTATTTTGAGAACACAATAAATGAATAAAAAATTATTATTTGTAATTAAGTGCTTAATCAAACAAAATAATAATAATAATAATAATAAAAAAAAAGAATTTGTGAAATTGTCATTAAATTCTTTTTATTATTATTCTTTTAAATGAAGCACTTAATTACAAATAATTATCTTTTATTCATTTATTGTGTTTCAAAATAAAATAAAATTTATGTAACTGATCTTTAAATGACTTTTATTGAACAAAAATTGTTGTCAGATATTTCAAATATTATGTTTCCGAGTAGGAAATTGCCAGATCTATCAAAATCAAGAAAAAAAAATTGGGGTTACTATTTAAAAAATTGTCAATGACGTCACTACCCAAAAATGGGAAGTGGGGGAAAATTGAATTCTATTTAAAAAATTGTGCTTTAAGTAAACAAAATTGACCTGTCCGAGCATTTTTTCGAAAAACCAACTACTTCCATTATAATGAATTTATTCCTTTCATTTGAACCATACTGTATAGTACCCGTTTACTTTTTGTTTTATCAAATAATTTTTTATTATAGTGGTGAATCCTTGCTATTAAATAAACGAACAAAATATATTTTAGTAAATTGGGCTTAAAAAAAAGGTTCTTTGAAATGGTC